TATTGCAGCTTTACTGCAACTGTAGTGTGGGGATTGACATTGTGTCTTAAGTGGGAACATTTCCATATTGCCCTGAAAAAAAAACAAGCTTAGTAAGAAGAGGCCTCATAATGAAAGGGTAATTGGCTTTTCTGTGTTACCTAGGAAACAAACTTTTACAGAAAGACTGCGGTGCAGCAGTGCCGTCTGTGCTGGCAACGTTGTAAAAGAAAAGTCATAATTTGTTACCACACATTTTTATCACTTGTTGCCTAATGCACGTTTTTAGATACAAAGGATATTTCTCTCGCTTCTTTCTCTTTTGGTAAGCTAAACTGCCATTAAAGAAGCATTATGCCACACTGAATAATTTTGAAAAATCATCATGTGAATCATTTTTGTTTTTAAAAAATTGCCAGGGGCACACTGATAAATACATCTCCAGCTTCATCATGCATCTGTATTGTCCTGCTGCAACTTTGTCTCAAAATATGACACTAGAGGCCTTTGGCAGACAGAAATTGACCTATGGTTCATGTCGAAAATGTACATCAGGGAACAGAAATTCATTGATAATTAATTAGAAATTCCTGGAAACACTGATGTGGTGAAAGAATTTGAAATATAAAAAAAACAATTGTAAATTATTTTTGGTTCATAGAAGAGATAGTCCAACAACTGAACTAGCTTTAAAAAATAAAATCTTAACACAAGTTTTCTTTTCTCCTTGATATCCAATGGACTCACAGTTTGCTATTTTTTCAACAATTACTTTAATATTATATTTTTGAAATAAAGAATAAAATGCAGATATTATGAAGTATAATGTTGTTTAGGTCAGTACATACCAGCAAAGCCATCACAGAATAAAATCCCTTTCTACAAATATAAAGTGTAAATTCATCTTAAATGAGTTACCACACAAAATTTTAATCATTTCTACTTTTGAAACCATTTCTAAAACAGAATCATCTTCTCTGCACAAGAGGGCAGCATTGCGTCTGTGTAGGTAAACTGATGGGATTATGAGACATGGAATTATTAAAATCATGTTACAAAGAAAACAGAGGAAGGATCATTTCTCCTGTATCCAAATTAACAAAAACGTGGACTTTCGTCTGACGGCCTAAAATCATCTGCTTAATCTTTTCACTGTTGGACTTTAGATTAGGATTTTGTTGCCAGTGCCCCACTGTTGTACTTGCTGTTGTAGTCTTGCCCTTGCTTGCTAAAGTAAATCTTTTTAAAGTAAATATCAGGGATACAGATCCGGGTTCAAGCTAGGGCATGTACAACACAAAACACACATTCCTGTAGTGCAGCATGCCATCTTCTTCTGGCTGCTTTGCATCAAAACATTGAAGAGGTGTTGATGCACTGCTGCTTGTTACCATTACCTAAAACTTACTGGTCACAGATATTATTCTGCTGGTAAGAGATGTCACATCTTGTGATTTCATACACAAAATTAGGAAAGGGTTGGGAGTGTCTGTATTCAACACCCTTTACTCTGATTCCTCTAAATAACATACAATAAATGAAATTGCCTTCTGAAAAACCCTAACAAGCAAATATAGTCAACTTGTGTGTAATTTAACATAAGTATAAATGTAGCTGTTCTGTCATGGTGTTAGAGGTGTTAGAACAAATGGCATCATGAAGGCTGAGAAACACAAATTTCTGGAGATGTATAAAACCAAAATTGAATGATGAAACAATATCTCAAAGATTGATAACGTACTGGTACTAAAGGTGGGTGGTTTCATTTACTGTGAGTAAATAAGCTCGCATGCATTTCTCCAAAGTAATAAGAGATGCAACAATGAGAGCTGCTTTGTCCCTCGCTGCAAAGAAAATAAAAGATTTCCTCACGATCTCCACTTGTTCCTCTGACCAGATCACCTGCTAATTTCTCTTTACATTTTCCTTTTCTTTTTCTTTCTGTGTTGTTTGACATGTTGCTACAGCGACCACTGCTGCTTGGACGTTATCCCAAGCCAGGAGAGCTGTGGGGCATTTCAGACCTCCAGTTGCTAGGAAATATTCCTGCGAGCTCCAAAAGTAAAACACGGAGACACATGGAGCCCTCATGTGTACATGCTGCATAAATCTTTAATGCGTCTGAGCATTTGGAAACAGACTGCTGGTATTTTGAATGTATGCCTTTGGAGAATGAAGCAAATTTGAAATATTGCTTTTGCTGCAGAAGTATTTCCTTCAACAGCAAAATTAGAGTAACGAAGTTGAGATCAAAAACTGAATGCTCCATAACTGAGTCTGACTCCATGGATTTCCATAATACAAATGAGGGGAAAAGAGCAACAAAGAGCTTGCATAACCTATGAACATGAGTGTGGATGTAAGTAAACTTAGAAAAAGCTCCACATATCAGATAATGACGTCTCAGTTGGAATGTGAATGCAGATAACTCTGGAGGAAATGCCTGAGGACTGAGATTTTTCCAAAGACATCTCACTAGAAGCTTTAGGACATCAGTGTATGTACAAAAACAGACAACGTGCTTTTAATACATTCTTTAAATCATTTAGACCAGTGAGGGAGCATAAAAACAAAATAATATAGAAAGTCAGGATTTTGTGTTACATCCAATTGAAACTGTAAGTGGGATATCTCCTTGGGCCACATGAAAAGATGACAGAAATCTCAGAAAGCGCCCGATAACTAGATCACCATCTGTCCAAAGCTTATGCTGCAGTATGGTTTGTTTTGATCAATAATTACTATGCTCTTTGCATTTTGTTGCATAATGCTGCGTTAAATAAAGCTGGGTGTTCAAAGTTCCTGATAATAATTTATACATTGTATCGTATAACTGTTAATATCTCCCATTTAGCAGATATCGATCAAAGTGGAGGTGAGACATATTATCCTCCAAATCCACTAAACTGCTTTATTCAGTGTGTGTTTCCTGGGTCAGTTGGCTGGGTGATATTTTTGTAATGTAGGTTCTTTGCCTCTGAGGAAATCAAACTACAAGACACTGAATGGCAGTGTCTTGGTAGATGAACACAGGAAACAGAAAATCTTTATTTCAGAGTGGAACAACTGAACTAAAACTGTACCATTTTAGTTGTCAGCAGTACATAAAATACCAGAGATCGGCTATAAAGAGAAGAAAACTGTTCTCTGGGGATATCTAAGCAGGCGAAAACTTAAAACAAAAATTGAAAGTCCAGAAATTAAGTAAATTAACAAGAAATATGCTGATTTAAGTTTTTTTAATTGAGCAAAAACTTCATGTACACATATCTGATTGTGGCCTGTTTTTATTGAGGTCACATATACACTTCATGCATAATCTGGCTTTTCTGGTATTGTTCTAAGGAATTCCAAAAAACCCCCCACAAAGCCATGTGACACTAACTTTAGGAGAGAGACAAGGCATGGAGAAACATCAATGACGTGGCATTTACTAACCATCTGAAGCTCAGAACTTCAAACAACTCTGCATTAAGCTCAGGTGTTTTACTTGTTTTCTTGATTTTAATGCTCCATCTTTTTTTTTATCCCAGTGTTCCTGCTTGTTTATATTCTATTAAATGTTGCAGACATAAAACAACAGCTAATTGAGCTCACGGGCATGTGTCTTTCAAACATGTCTAATAACAGGCTGCACCTTTCAAGCAGCTGTGATTCTTCATCTGCAATGAGCAAAAGGCCTTCTTCAAACATCTTGAAGTGTCATCCAAACAAAAACAGGGATTATCTGGCAATGTTGTTCTGTTTTTAATGTTTGTTTTGACACAAATGTGAAGTTTTGCAATATGCGATAGAACAACAAAAAGTTGTGCATCATTTTGAAATGGAGGAAAAATGAGGCATCTTTTTACATTATTTTACAAATAACATCTTGAAAAGTGTGGCGAATATTCCCCATTTTTAACTCCCATAGGTTTAACTCTATGCAATCAGTTGCCTTTATAAAATAGTAAAAGGTTGAGGCTTTAGTGAACCATCAACATGATGAAAAACAAGGAACACACCAACAAGATCAGGGAGAAAATAGACGAGAAGTTTAAAGCAGTGATAGGCTATAAAACGATGTTCCAACTTGTTAACACATTTCTTCCAGTCATCATCTGAAAATGGAAAAAGCAGGGCACATCTGATTGTCAACAGATAATGGAAAGAACAATGCCATTAAAAGAAGGAACTAAGATGTCATGTGTTTAGGCACCCATTAGTCAATGCAGGTGATACAGCAAGCATGTGGAAGAAAGGTAGCTTTGACTAAAACTCAACTTTTTCGCCGACATGTAAAATGCTGTGTTTGTCTAACATTGCACCCTGAAAAAGCTATTACTTTTAGTGTAAGGTGGTGTTGGCAGTATCATGCTGTGGGGAAGGTTCTCATTAAAAGGGAAAAGGAGGCTGGTCAGAGGTAAGGAGAAGACATCGGTCAGTCCTGAAGTGAACCTGTCAGAGGTTGTAAGAGACTGAGGTTAATCTTGCAGCAAGACAAAACTCAAAATATTGAGCCAGCGCTACAGTGGAATAGCTTAGATCAATGGACATGTGTTAAATTAAAAAAAAGTTCATGGGCCATGAATTCTTTTTGCAGCAGGATTTGAGGATAAAACGTGTTATTTCAAACATAAAATAAAGTAATGCATGAAGTACTAGTTTGCTCTTTTCATTGCTCAAGTTTTTAGAGCTACTCCTTCAGTGACAAAAGGTAAGCTATCATAGCAGGAGAGTGAGGTCACTGCTAAAAGAATCTTGAAAGACATAAACTATGTTAATCTGAACCATTTACTTTTATAATCCAATAAAATTTCCGTCTTTATACTCAAGATGAGAGTCCTTTTTCTTTAAGTAGTTCAACGTGAGCTCTAGTTCCCACGCGTTTCTTTTCGCGTTTCTCTTCAGTGCAAGCTGTGCTGTGGTGAAACTGTTGGTCGGGGGGAAAGAAAAGGAGTAGTGGGGTTACACTCCTGGAATGTGCGCGCGCTCCCGATCTCTGCGTTCCCGACTGGAAGTGGCTGACTGCGCGCGCAGCTCGCGGCGGTCACACACAGATCTGGAAGTGCAAAGAGAGGAAGAGGCAGGGAAACGCCGCTGGAGCGGGGAATGATGGCGGAGATCGAGAAGGAACAAGTTTGATACCGGAGCAACACTGGAACCTCGGACGAGCTCTTCGGCTTCTAACTCTGTAACGCAACTAGGTGAGCGGCCGGGAAAGTTGTCGTTTACGCTTTGTTTTCACAGCAGACCGTGTTTGACCGGTGCGAACTACTTCAACGACTCGTACTTGAAACGCAACAATGAATTGTTTGAAGCTGAGGCACTAACGTTCGGTCTTTATTGAAGTGTCGCTGGACTGAGTTGAACTTTGTGTCGCTCGTTATCTGTGAGTGGAGTTGCCAGTGGTACCAACACAGGTTAACCTACAGATTTAAATACCGCAAATGGTTCTTTTTAAGTTACTTTCGAGCCTGAGTGTTTGGCTTAAGTTTAGCTCAAGCTAGGAGCCAAACAACTACTCAGATCCTAAACGGTTGTGCACGCGAGCTAACCTTAAAATCAGTGTCAGGTTGCACCTGAACCTCGCTGATGTCCGTCTAAAATGTGTTTTTATGTCATGACTAGTGTTCACAGGGTTGTACTAAGGAACGACCTCCCACCACTTTTTCGCGGTAGTTAAAAAAGTTATATTAGAGAAAGCACAACCAGTCAAACGAGACTTTTTTTTCCTTCTTTTTTAACGACAAACAGAGTACAAGGACTTAACAAAGCATATGAATTTAGTTGGATTACGACTTTAAAGTCTTTCTTCTGAGATCTGTTGAACATTAAATTAGATTTCATAGTTTTCCAGGTCTGGGAAAGTATAGTAAAAGCGAAAACTGACTGTGGATCAAAATACACTGACGTCACTTTCTTAGCAGAGGTGCAAGCAACAAGCAAACCTTACCACCAAGCCCGGTGACATTTAGATGTTTCTTTAAGTAAAAGTTATTGTTTATGCTCAGATGAAATAAGAAGTAATTAACTAACTGCTGTGCTCTATTTGTTTTCATCTCCTAAAATAAATACTTCCGAATGAGATATTTTGATTGATGGAAAAAGCTTGTGTTCCTAAACTTTATATCTTATTCCATTTTCTATAAGTAGTATGGGACTCTATTAAAATTTTTAATTGGGTTAATTGCAGGGGATGAAATTTATTGCAGTTAATCACAAGTTAACCAGAACTATATGTCGACAAAATGAGCAGCATTTTCAGTTATACACCCTTTTAGACAATGGCAAAACTTTGTTTATCATTTCCGATAAGCTTGAATTTTTATTTTTATACATCACAAATTTAGTTTTACTAAATAAAACGAAATTTCTACACTGTGGAAATAGATGTTAAGAGCTAAAATTAATAATTGGTGGGAAATTCCAAAACACATGGCTCATATTTTGGTATCTGACTGTAGTTTTGATAAAAAAAAATACTGTTTTTTTTTCTTATCAATCTAACTTCTGTGTCAAATTTTCTGTCATTAGTAATAGTTCTCTGAACCCTTTTTTGACTCTTAAAAATAGAATACAGAAGATCCATTCTCTATCAATTTCATGCATGACAGCTCTTCTCATTTTTTAAAATAGCTATTCCAAATATTAATGGACAGTTAGCAGCCCACGTTGTGACTGAATTAAATTATTGTCATTTTTGAAATTGTTGTTTAATTTTGTCTCATATCTGTTAATTAATTAAAGCATTAATTTTCTTTTCTTTAGATGACTTTGCTTGAATTGAGAGGACAGTGCTCCAGAAAATCTCTGCCGGACCCATGGAAATGGTTGCCTAAACTCAGATTGTAGTTCTCCATCAAAACATTTGCAAAGCTGATTTGTTTTAGAATAAAGTTGCAGTGATAAACAACCAAGATGATCAAAACAGAAAACAAAGGAGGGGAAAGGAGTCTGAGAAGTGCGTCCCCTCACAGAAATACATACAAGTCTGACTTCCACGCCATCAAGTGCTCCTTTGATGGACCAAAGACCGAGGATGCCTCAAAAACATTTGCAAATGGATCAAGTGAAACCAGGGATGAGTCTAGGGGAAGACCTTTTGGAACCAGAGTGAATAAGATAAAGAACATATTTCTACAAATGGATGGACAGCAACCAGAGACTCAAGAAGTCAAACAAACTTTAAAGTCTGATGTCCCCCAAGGTTCCCCAACAAAGTTGCAGTTTCCAGTCAATGCTCACAGAGTTCATTTAAACAGCGCTTCAAGCCCTGAATCCCACAGTTTAGATAAAACACCCAAGGGGGAAGATGTTGAGATCGACAAAGTTGCTCTGGCGGAGAAGTTTTCTGTGACCAGAAAACTCTTTGAAAGAGGCGTCAAGGAGCAGCCAGCAGCTGAAAAACAGTCCCCAAATAGAGTTGTTAATCGTCTATCCCTCGGAAGTGCCTCAGATGAAGAGAAAAACACAAGGAGAGCATCGGGATGCAAAGAGAGTCCTGGCAAATTGGAGCAATCGCCCACATCGGTAGCTAAAAGTTGCTCAGATGAGATAGCTGATGGTGAAAAACGGCATGTGTCTAGAGTGTCGCTGAATGCAGGGCCTTTGTCAAAGAGGTTGGAAAATTATATAGTTGAGAATGACTCAGACGACAACAACACATCTGCTGGGAAAGAAGGAGTGGCATCTGCTAAACAACACAGCACCACTCAACACATACAGCCGACTGTTGTGTCCAAGGACAACTCACACAAAGCTACTTCTCCTGTTAAAGAAGCCACAGACTCTTCATTTGTTAATAATGTCCTCATCAAAAACAAAGACAGCAAATCTGGATCTTGGGGCTCAAATTTGGGAACTAAACCGACATTACCAGCTAGTGGCGAAGTATCTTCGGCAGCAGATGGCACTCCAAAACTTCGCTCATCAGAGCAAACGACCTCAATTAGCCACAGCTACAAGTACCCCTCACCAACAGTTGATAGATTTAGTAGGACATCTGTTGGTGATGGTGCTAAATCATCAAGTTCACCCCCAAGGGATGGGAAACAGCCTTTGCCGTCAGCTGGCGGATTTCTGAACGCAGATCGGAATAAACACCCGGAAAAACCCAAGAGTAACGATGGCCCAGCTCTCAGCCCTACAGGGCCCAAGCCACAAAGCAAGGCTTCATCACCTGACTCCAGAGGGGGAAGCACAGTGCGAGCTGAACTGGTGGTGGTACAGAATGAGTCCTCGGATAGTGAGGAGGATGAAATCACTGAAGATAAGCAGAAAGAGACATTCTGTGAAGACCTACAAAGAGGCTTTCCATCAGGACAAAACCTCAACTCTTCTTATCAAATCTCATCACAAGAGACTATAGAAGAAGCACAAAGGGGGGCAGATAATGTATATGAAGGTAGAGTCCCAGCAGATGACAAGAGATTTGGTGTAGAGACAAAGGAGGATAACTTAGCAGTGAGTCATGACACTAATGAAGAGGATGAAGCAGTGGAGGAGGAGGACGAGGAAGAAGAGGATTCACTAGAGAAGCAAGTGGAGGAGAATATTCTGGATAGAGTCTCTCCAGTGGTGCATGGGATAGAGAACGCAGCATTTGTGGATGATAGAGATGTAGACCAGGTCATCAGGGAAGAGGAAGAGGAGGAGGAAGATGAGGAGGAAGATGATCAAATCTATGGGAATTATGATGAGTGTTATGAAGTTATTGGTCTCTCGGATGAGGATGACGCTCCCCCAAAAAGGAAAATTAGGTTCTCCACAGATCCTATTTTGGTAAGTGTGTTGTTTACGTGCAAAGCATTGTTATTCAGCACAAATGTAAAATATGTTGTACAGTACTTTCATCATAAACCACTGACTCAGCAATGGTGTATGACCTGGTGTTCCCTGTAGACACAGAACAAATTAGCAGAGACTGAAAATGAATGCTTTTGTCTGCTGTGCTCGCGTCACTCCGCAGAAATCTGTCATCAGATAAGTTCTGTGACTGTTTAGAAAAAAAAAGGTTTATTTAATCTTGTTGAACGGGAAGGCGGGTGGTTTGACAGCCTACCTCCTTAATCTCATGAGAGCTGTGAGAAGAGTTTGGAGACTAGGCCAGTGTAGTTTAACTGTATTTTTGGAAATAGTGTTGACTTTGCAAAGTTCCTGTGAAACCAGGACTATAGCCTGCAAAAGTTGCATTCAGGGTTTCATGTGAAACATTTTGCTGTATTGTAGAAAATCTTGGCCACTTCTGAGTGAGTGCTTTGAGCAGATGTTTTTCCAAGCATGCAAGGTTGTCTTGAAGATTTTATTGAAACATTTTAGTGGACTAGAAACCTTTGTGTGACTTCATAGTTGTTTGAGGAATAATTTCATATGACATGACAGAAAAATTGTAATTGTTCAGGGGGTTGCAAGGAATCTGCATATTTGGAGCACAAATTGCTTTCTGTCTGAATTTACGCTGCCTTGTTTTCATTTGTTGGTGCTGCAGGTTTGAATTAGTGTAGTATTTATGACCAAAAAAAAAGTCTGTTTGAATAAGCTTTACATCTTCACAATATGCTGCAATTATCTGGCCTCTTTTGTGAAATGATTATGCACTACTTCACTGTACTTTTGAAAATTTCTCCCACATAGGGTGGGACTTATTCACATAGAAGAGAAATATTACCTGTGACCCCATTAGAGGCGAAGCAAATATTCAATTTCAAAATTAGTGTTTGTAAAATTGCAGGCACAAAGACCCAGGTACCCCTGCACCAGGATGTAGTACCTGGTAGCCAGTTATATTTTAAGTGCCAGGTGTCACGCTCTGCATCCTGATAAATATTTGACAAGTTGGATAGATTTTTCCTACCTTTGATTCCTAAACCTGATTTAGATTAGAGACAGATGGCAAAGCTTTCAGGTGATAGAAACTTTGTTTTGAGGGAAAGGAAAAGTCTGGAATTGAAGTTGTGTGGATTTACTGCAACAAACATCTTCTTCACACTGTTTAACAATGATTCTTTAATTACATGTTTTTTTTAAATATTATGCCCCTTTTGGCTGCTGGTTATAGTTTTGTGCCACAGCTGTCTTGAGTTTTGGAAATAAAGAATATCCCTTCCATAGCCTTGCTGGAAGTATATAACATTCACTACAGCTCAGTAGATGAAGCTGCAGATGAAATCGGACTTTTTTTTAACAACCAATAACAAAAGAAGAGCCTTTAGTCTCCAATATTCCTGTCCTAAGCCACATTCAGAGGATGACAGTTTCATGTGTGACAATAGAGCATTCAACACTTAATTTTTTATTAGACACTGTTATGTAAATGTCACTTGGTTACTGAATCTTAAGGTGAAATTAATTGAATGAAAGTGAACCACACTGATTGTAGTTGAATTATGTGGAACTGAATTTACCTTAATCCCACTATTAACCCCTCAAAGATTTTAATTACATTTGATAACCTGCATGACTGCTCTATAGAAGGTTGCTGTGTGTTTAAAGAAGATAAGTACGTTCCACTGATGGAGTAAACACAAGAAATGCCTTGTGTTTTGGAAACAGATGTGATAAACGCTTTGAGTGAATACAAACGTTAAGTTTATTTTCATATATGTATTTTTTTGTTTTTGTTTTACATGACTGCAATATCTAATCAACATTAAGATAACACAAGCAAACAAATCAACACTCTCTTGTAACCCAGCATGGTTTTCCATGTTTATTCAGGCCTTCAAAATGTGATGTTATCACAGGGTGTGGATCCCCCTCCCAGTTTCCATCCCAACCATCAGGGGGTCCTGGGAGAGGGAACCAGAAGATGACCCAGAGTGAAGACAAAAACAGATTGCTGTATGTGACTAAAATTAAACTGGGACATTTAAAAACGTATCCTTCCGGTCACATATCAGAGCAACAAGCCAGACAGTTGCCGTTTTTAATTTCAGCTACTAAAGCTGCATAATAAATTGAAACACAATTGTCTTTGCAATTTCAATGTTTTCTATATTGCAAAGGATGAATTGGGAGCATGACTTGGTTGGACATCATCTTTCAAGTGCCAGAGATTTAGGCTCTGCCTGCTAACAATATATTTAGCCAATTGTATGGTCTCTAACTGTCCTTGATAAACATCTTATATATTTGTTGGTGGCTGAGATGCTAAAGCTCACAGAAAATGATCGGAAAGTATGGTAGACTAAATATGGCAGAGTGAGAGATTAAGCAATTAAGAGGAAGTACATCATTTAAAATGATGTGAGATATTGCTCTTTTGGTAGCTTGTAAGAGAGGAGACCTTTAAATTCAAACTTTAGTCCTAAATATATTCCAGGTTTGGGTTCAACTGTTCACTCAAGAGGTGGTGATGAAAGGTTTGTGTTGCAGGCATTGCTCTGTTTACATCTCCACCTATAGACTGACTAGCATTCCACTAACAGTACATTCTACTATATAAGTTGTCACTGGAATTGGATTCATTGGAGCTTTAACTGACCAGGAGAGAAGAAGTGCTTTGTGCTTGTTGTTCACATCAGAATTGGATCCCTGAGTATCCTAACTCTTCCTGAAAGATGAGAAGTCCTGTGTGGAAGAAAGATCTTCTTTGTGAAGGAAAGGAGGGAGTCACTTTCAACATGCAACAGTTGTATCTGGGCTAAAAAGGAAAGCTTAGATGAAGACAGTTTCAAGGACAGAAACAGAATAACTACAGCCAGATGAAGTTAACGTCTGCTGCTCCACATGTGTAGCAGATCACAGAAAAGCAGAAAGTAACTGCTGCCATAAAAAAAGGTTGGGTTCTTTTTGTCATGCTTAAATGTTTCAGATTATCAACAGATTTTAATGTCAGATGGAGATGACCAATGTAAAGACAAAATGGGCATAACCAGTTTTTATTAGGCGAGGAAAAATGTCATATCCAACATATTAGAAACAGTTATTGGCCTCTGTCCGTCTGGATAGGGTTACAAAACTATTTTGTAAGATGTGGGTACTCCAGCAAACAAACCACAGTGACCACTATCCACAAAGGCAGTGATGAAAATGACCTTTAATTTCTTTATGATTCATCCAGGTCGCTGAAGAACCCAAAGCATTATTTAAAGCAACATAAGCCTCAGGTTTCTTGGTTAATTTTAAGTGTTAATGATTCAACATTAACCAAAACCTAATGGGGAAAAAAAAGATGATTAAAGAGCATATCTGTTCCATTTGCCAGTAGTAGTCCCTTATTTCCCCAGTTCATCTTTAACTTTCTGACTGTGGTTTCTTAAATCATTTAATATCCCAGTCTCAAATGGATGAGTGCAGTAGGGGTCCTAAGGGTCTTAGACCGGTTAATAAATCTGGTTTAATCTGCAGAAACAATGTGACAGGCTTATATAAAATATAATGGTAAAGGGCAAAGGCAATATTCTGGAGATTGATTGATGTTCATGATCAGACCTATTTCTTGGAGGGATTTCTTTCTGTTGGGGCACTTAAGAAGTTGTGAAGTTGAGTAAGCAATGTCTTGCAAGTCATTCATTTGAAAGAATACCACCAGGGCCACAGCAAATGTTTCAGACATTTACTTCTGTCATGCCACGCCTCAGAATACCTTAAAACATTTTAGGAATGCATGAAATCTGTATGGTTGTATTAGAATTTAAATAAGCTTGAATGGTTGTAATTTGTCTTTTACATATATTATCTGGAGCTGAGTGTTTCTCTGTATGTTCTAGTACCGGAAAAAATAAAATGTGAAGTGTGCCATGCTGTAGGTGTGTCCTGTTTGGAGGACAAAGAGTGCAGTCTTTTTTAGAGCACGGTATGTAAACAGGCTGTCATAGTATTTGTTTCATATTGAACAGAAAGACACTTAAAATGGTATCCAAGAGTAGAAAATGGTTGGTCAAAACTAATATTTACTCCTGCCTTTGCCCCACCCACTACAAAAGAACAGGAAGCCCCAACCGTGGTTCAGTCAAGCCTTCTGTTTTCACTGGAAGCAGGTGTGGTTCAGGAATTTAGTTCATTGCATTATTTATCTTTTACTCATTCCAATGTTTGTTTGGTTCAAGCAGGAAGCATGCACCTTCTGTAATCTGATTTACTTCCAGCGCACCTGCATTTTTGTCTGTAATCTGACTTGTGGATGCGTCACCTCTTTCAGAAAGAACACAGTTTTAAGGCATGTTTTACTTTGTTGTCTTTGCTAAATGCTCGGATTAATATTTTGGTGAGCGAGTCATTTTCAAATGCGCTTTAAGTCTTGTTCTAACGCTATCAAAGCCAATCTGTATGAAAATCACGCAAAAATAACGGCTTCCTTCTGCAGCTAAATGACTGCTTTTGCTCTTTGCAGTCATTTAGCAAATTTTGTTGCCAAAATGTCTCAAAGCAGATCTGACTTCCCTTCAGCCACCTGGACTTGTGGTTGACAAGAGAGAGCAGAATACTAATGCAGGCAGACCATTGCTGTTTATTAACCCTGTATGTCGTGAGGTTAGAGCTGATGGTAAACACTTTGAAAATGTCTCTGATTATTGACGTCTTACCACTTTCCACTGAAACAATAGATTAACTGTTGAGAGTTTTAGCAGCTTTTCAAAGGACAAAAATAGCGTTTTGTCGGCCAGTTTTGGACAAACTTGTTAAACCTGTTTGTGTGCTCCGGTACTTTTGAAATTTGATCCTATCTGCAAATGTGAACTCTGTGGTTTTGTTTCACTTGACAGTTAAAAAAAAAAAAAGCCAAATTTATATAACAACTGAAAGATTTGTCACTGTCTGAATTTAACCCCTTTTACAGACACACACACTCTTTATTGCATGTGGTGTCATTGTTTTTCTTTGACTGCTCTTCCCCTGTTGATTTTTCTTTATCTGTTGCATTCGGTGAACTTGTTGAGATGAGGAAATATTGCCACAGTACTGTACTGCATAGATACGCAGTAACAAAAATCGGTGCTGTGTCATTACGTCCATAAAAAGTCTTCGTTGGTGTTATTGAGCAGGTGCAGTTGTAGAAAACTATGATGCACAAGCTTTGCAAAATTGATACCTGACTGTAGAGGAGACAGTTATTAATTAGGCATTTTGGAAAACATACCTTCAATTTTCAAATCTGAGTCAGAAGTCTGTCTGCATAGAGTTTGCAGATGTTTGTTGCGTGTTTCACCTAACTGTTTTGTCGTTTGCTTTGCGTTTCACCTTTGAACCACGGCATTATTCAGAACCAACAACAATGTCTTCACTAACAATTTGGTCATTTGAGACGCCTGGTATTTCCTTGCACAATTTATTTATATTTTGATTCACTTGCAATCATGTTCAATGGTCTCCATGGATAAATTGATGTGCAGTAGACAGAGCAAGCCTTGTTGCAAAATAAGTTTTTCTGTTTCAAAAAACAAAGCTCACACAAATAGAAAGCCTTTCACTATTATGTCTTGTTTGTGTACCTGCTTCCTGAAACAATCTCCAACTTTGTCAGTGAATCATTGTGAACTCAGTCAAGTGTTTATCATTTTAGAGGCATGTGCACAGGAAGTACTAGATATAAAATGCTCCTTTTCCTGATATTTATCCAGGATCTCAAGCAGGCTCCCGTTCCTTCCCCCCGCCCCCCGACATTGCTGTGATCCCTCCTGGCCGCCACCCCTGCTCCAGCTCACCCTCACAGCAGGTTTTAATTTGTTGTCTTTTGGTGGTTCAGTTTACATTACATGCTCCCCAATCCACTGGACAGCCTTTGTTTTTCTTTGCACTGGCAAAAGGTTTTCTCTGGTTTGCCTTTCCTCACAGCTGCTGACTCATTTCCCATTCTGGTGTTCTGTAGTATGAGGGGGAATTGGAGGAAAGATGGAAAAAGTTGAATTTTGGGCGTGGGCATGGATGCGTCTGTGCGTTAAAACATACAGAGTCGGCATCGGCTATTAAGACTGTAGAACATGAAATGTAAGAAAGGATGAAACCATCAGCAAGTAACTTATTAAAGCTTTGTGTAAAGGTTTTGTTTAGCATGTCAATTATGCTGTTGGATATGATCAAGGGTTCCAATGGAAAGAGTTGGCTTTTAAACATGGTGAAACATGTTTGTTTTCTCTGCAGAAAAAGAAAATATTGGGTGGTTTTTATTTGATCCAGACTGTGCATGTTCTGAACTGGGGATCGGAAAATTTGGTGTGGTCAGAGGGGACACTGATCTTTGTTTAAGGACATTTTAGCAGGAAAAAGCAAGTGAACTTGTGATTTTCTGTCTTTCTTACCAACAAGGATGTGATTGTATTACCAGATTTCCGCAAATAACTTTATATCTTTTTCAAAAAGAAGTTTTAGTTTTAGGAAAGCCGAACCAAACAAGAGACAATGAGGGCTAAAAGTCAAGCTGCTAAAACACTAATGACTAGATGCACTGGTGTTGTCACCATTATAATCTTTTACATTTTCTGCTCTTAATTACAAAGTTTAAACTAAATGTTATATTTCTGCCTGATCTAGTTCTCAGGATGATAATGTGACATTTTACAGCTTTTGCCATTAGTTGCTCTTAAGTTTCAAAGGTCAATGTAAATAACTTAAATACAGTGAAAGTCAGATGAAACAAATGGGTTCTGCCCTTTGTCAGTTGCTTATAAACCAATTAAAAGTAAATACTATAAATTTGTTTGTGAAATCTCAGTCAAACATAGAATTCAATAAATGGTATCAGCCTAAAATACAGACTGGGGGCTGGTGTCTACATTTCAATCTTTTGAAATAAGTGCAAAATTCATCCATCACATGCAGTGCTGTGTTCAACTAACCTGTGTCTACTATTCAGTATAAAATTGTTACAATGATTTTCTTTGCCAATTAAAATATAGAGCTTGGTGAGTTATTCTGGAAATTTACTGTCTGCACTGCTTTGGGCTGCATCCAATGTCTACATAGGGAGACTGAAGGAGGACGATTGTTTTTTGTTCATTAATTTCACAACTGCTGCAGCCTTTTTTCCCATAGTAAAGTAGTTTTTAATCTTGTGGCAGATTCCTCAGCTGTTCTTTTTCTATAATCATAATCTTCTTATGACATCCTAAAAATTTTATGTATTTAAGTCCAAATTTATTTTATCTGAGGAATTTAACGAAGACAACTCACTCAAAAAACAAGAAACTTGAAAAGAGGCAAAAACTTTTTATATGCAAACTATTTGAAAGTTTATTTATGTATTTGGTTTATTTAGGCAAGGAAAAAGACACGAGTTACATTGACGGCAAAGTAAATTTAGATTTTTGAATGAGTTTAGTTTTTATTTTTGTTAAGCTCCTCCTGTTTGTTTTTAAGTCATCTTTTTACTGAGAACTGTCATTCTCCTGTACAAATATTGCAGCCAAATTATCAACATGCTTGTGATGTTTTTGTGATGGAATCATCATGACTTCACCCAGATAAGTAATCATAATGCTCTAAACTGAAGGGCTTTTTTGACGGTCCTTTGTTGGTTCATCCTTATAATGAGGCATAAGCTCCTCATGGAGTCTGCTAGACTAATCTGCTTTCTTATCAACAGTTCACAGGCTCTGTTCAGGATTTAATTAACTCCTGTCTTGTTTCTACACTCCAAAGTTCAAATGCAACATGCTGAATGTTTTTTTTTTGTTTGTTTCTGTTTTTTAGTCATTTTTGGTCATTAGATAATTCCTCTATAATTTATTAAATAGAAATGTGACAGTATTTTTAATTGGCACAAATTAAACAGATTTATTTATTTATTTATTTATTTTAGAAATTCGAATCTGTTGGTTGTATACCTTTTCTTTATTTATTATAATCAACAATGGAAATAAAAAAACTTTATTTTCTCTAGGTAAAGAAACTTGTCAAACTTGTTCTTGAGTAAATTATAAGGACAATAAGGTTTACCAGTTAATACATATGCGGTTCAACTTGCTTGCTTTACTGGATCACATTGTTTATTCCTACATTCATGTTGTAGTTATCTACAGCTGTCAATGAGTAAGTTGGATAGTTCCAAACCGTTATTGTATAATGGTCTATATTTGTTGTTCACATTAATTTTTGCATTTTATTTCGTACATTAATAGCTAAATTTGCTTAAGCCATCATCAGAAATCAGGACTGTTGGCAATGTATCCAAACAGATGGAAGAAGCAACTCAAACAAGGGTAATTTTAAAATGGCTTCTATCAATCTGTTCAAATTAAACACAAGCTGACATTTTAAAGTATTGCTTTCCTAAAATAACTCATCCTTCGACAAGCATCTTCAGTACTTAGTTAGAGCAACCCCTTTGCTTTTATGACCTTTTGCAAATATGATTAATCGGTCAGACGCCAGCATCCTACCTGAGTGTTGCATGTGTACTTTTCAAATCCTACCAGAGATTTCAGATAGTGTTGATGGCCACTCTAGTTTGTTCCAGGACATTTTCTGAAACAAGGCCTTTGTGGACCTGGAAACATGGTTGTGATTGTTCTTTTGTCTGGAGGTCATTTCGCCATTGTTTGCGTTTTTGTTGTGGTCTGAAGTCCAGGACTGATTAGGTACATAATTCCTTTTCTGCTGGTTGTCTGAGGAATGAATCTAAGATGCAACAGTATTATATGTTTAAGAAATGGCTTCTGTAACACTCTGAAAAATCAACAATGCCTAACAGGTCTATTGTTTTGTTTATAATAAACAATCTATAGGAATCTAATCATCAAAATATATATTCTTCTTTTACATATATTCAGTTTCTTTTCACTGAGAGAAATATTTGTCATACATCTTTGCTTGATTACCTCTCCACAGCTGTGCCCCACTTTCCACAGTACCTCATGATCATCACTACTGCATGTCTGTTCTTTGTAATTGCAACCAGAAAAGTATTTTTGAGATGCATCCAATGCTTTGAGAAATCCGCCTGCAAATTTCACAACTCCTGACATCTCTGCAGCATAACGTTAGGGAATTATTTTCATGCTTTAGTGTCATTACATCTGAAAAATATGTGAAGCGGCAGTCTCCATGGACAGAGGAGTAAAAATTAGGCATCTATATATGTTCAAAACAAACAAGGAGAGGGGATTTCAGTGTTGGTGGTCCAGAATCATTATCCATATATCAGCAAGTGTTAAAGAAAAGTAGTTCATTTCTCTATAAGAGCTTAAATTGTGAGTGTAATCACACCATTCTTAAGAAAAGCAAAACTGAAAAAGGGATGTTTCAAAATTGAAGCTATCCAAATAACCTATTTTAATATTTTGCACAGGTCTTCAGCACCTTCTCCAATGAGGATTACGATCGGCGCAATGATGATGTGGACCCTATTGCAGCGTCTGCAGAATATGAGCTGGAAAAGAGAGTGGAGAAAATGGATGTGTTTCCTGTGGAAATTCAAAAGGGTGAGTCACAAAAGGAAGTTTTAGTGTATTAAACAAGTTAATTCAAGAGGAACATGTAAGAAAAGTGACATTCAGATTGTTCTCCAACCTTCCACTTACAGCAACGTCATTCTCACCGCAGAGGAGAGCTGCTATTGTAGAACATGGAATTACAAGTATTTTATAAACAAGACTGTACAATTAATAATTAGAGAGTTTAAGGAGATCTTAGCATCTGGTACCAGCTGTTAATTTGGATAACATTATTAAAGCACCAGTCCCTGAGATCCTTCCCTGCAGGTTGCAACTTTGACCCTCAACTAAAGCCTCCCAGTATTTTTAAATGCCCCATAACGGAGAGGTTGAAAACCCAAAAGGAAACGATAGAGCTACGTCAGTGATTTGCCGCATATGTTAAACACAAACATATAACAGAAAAAAATGTTTTCCTTTTTATTAACTCTTATCTCTGTCTTTTCTGTGACTCTGTTTTAAACACAAATGTCCATCATTAGGTCTTCATCCCACCATATAATTTATGTAATTTATTTATATCATTTTTAGCATGCTTTAATAACCAAGAGTTAAAACTGCAGATTTTATGTTACCTTAAGCCAAATGTTAGGCATTTTAAATTTTTTATAAAACTGTGCAATGTAGCTTATTTGATCTTTCTTCCTGTCTGTCCTTCTACATCAATATTTTTGTCTGCCAGCAGGAGACAATGGGCTGGGGATCAGTATCATAGGAATGGGAGTGGGAGCTGACCAGGGTTTGGAGAAACTCGGTATTTTTGTGAAAACGGTAACTGAGAACGGAGCAACTGAGAAAGATGGACGGTAAGTCTCTTCTGCGGTAGATAGACCCGTCACAATACATTCTTCCCTTTTTTTTTCTATTATGTGAATTATAATATGGTGAAAAACGTTTCCATGTTAACATAAGAGACATGAAAAAAAATCTCATTAATTTAAGTTGTCTCAAAAGAAAGTAAGAGAAAATAGTTGTTGAATCCTGTCTTTAGAAGTACATTTAATATATTCTGTTTCATGTTGAAGGTCTGTGCAAAACCCTACAAGAATGACGTGGTTTAAAATCCTCCTCACAGATTTAACTTTCTCTTCCTGTAGGATACAGGTGAATGACCAGATAGTAGAGGTTGATGGGACCAGTCTGGTGGGAGTAACCCAGCTGTTTGCTGCAACTGTCCTGAAGAACACCAAAGGCACAGTGAGGTCAGTTTAACTCTCCCTATGACCTCAGAGCAACCTCAATCTAAATATCCAGCTGGCAGCCAAACTGTGCTGCTGTTATCCCACTATAATTAAATAAGCTGGTTGAGAAACTTTTCTTTCGTGAGAGTTTAGACAGGAGGCCAAGGTTCAGTGTACTATGGTAATGATTTATAGGCAAATTTAACTCCCCCTGTATTGCAAAATGAGTTCAAAAACACATTTCTAGTTTGCATACTTTAGTGTCAAAGACATAAAAAGTTGCATAGTTGGGTATCCAAATCAACATGCTACATTGTATAGTATGCTTGTTCTTATGAAAAAAAAAAACAGGTTTCTGATTGGTCGAGAGAAGCCTGGAACTCAGAGCGAGGTGGCCCGCCTCATTAGTGAGACACTGGAGCAGGAGAGGAACCAGCAGCAGCAACACCTGGATGACCCTTACGACCATTCCACAGAGGAGGTAAGTCAGCTTCACAGTGAAACTTAAGCTGGTCATTTAGTGCTTTGTATGAAAAAACATGTTTACAACAGTCAAATCCTGTAATTATGATAATGCAGTAATGATATTTGTGCAGCATTAGCCATTTTACTGCTCCCATTCCAACCCCCCCCCTTCATCATCCAGGAAATTAGCAGCTGCCTATGAGTAAACCATGTGTTACAACTCTGCTGTTGGAAAATGTTCATTCAGCTGCCACCCGTCCGTCAAAGTTGGGAAATGTTTGTTTTCTGAAGTTCAGTCCACCACAGCAGTCTAATTTTGCAACATTGAGACTATCAAGGATTAAACAGGCTTTTTTAGAGCAGAGAAAGATACATTTACAAAGGCGTGTGGCTGTGCAAAGAGTGTGGTCATAGTCTTATCTATTGAGTGGGTTGCTCGTATTTGCCTTTATTGCCATGAACTTGCTTAGCCAAGCCCCTGAAGTGACTCCTGTGATCTAATTCAATGTTGATTCCTTCAGGCAAGGGGTAAACCCTGGAAGTATTGCTGTACCAATGTTCATTGTGTATGAGATCATCAAGGCGTGTTTGAGCTCACAGTAATGATATTTTTCAGGAGGAGAGGTACGAGGATGAGGACGACGACGTTATAGAAGAAAGAATTCTTGGGTCCAATTTCTCTCCAGGGAGAAACGTGGAGGTGTTGGAACTGCCAGACTCAGAGGCCTTGTTCATGCCGACAGACATGAACAGCTCTCAGATGGCCTTCAAGTTCAAAGAGGTACGCCGAATCTTTTCTCCGTTCGTTAATGTTTAAACTTCTTCTTGTTGATACAGTATCTGATTTATTAGATGAAACAAACTACTTAATTTTAATCATATCCCATAGCTGCAACTGAAGCACAGCGTTGCTACAGCTGAAATAAATCAACTGAAGGAAAAGGTAGGATAAGAAAAAAATTACAGATCTCGTTTAAAATTATATGCACGACAAATATTAGAACAAATGGAATGCTTCTGCATGGATCAGTGCAGCTCCTCCAGTGTTACCATGGACCTCCAAGCTACTTCTCTGGTCATACCTTATTAGCCACGTCATGCTGGGTGTTTATATTTCATGCAACTTCATTACTTTGTGTCAGTCCATCACATAAAATCCCAATAAAATAAATGGAAGATTTTGGTTGTAAAATGATTAAATGTATCCAGGTTCAAGTAATATTTGTCAGGTGGTGAATCTCGTGGCTCTAGACAGTAATTTGATTGTGTATGTATATGGAACAGTCTTTGTATTTTTTAATAATTGCTTCACCTATAATTGAAGTGTTTCCCCTACTTTAGTATTTGGCTTTAAATTAAAATGCACAGTTGGCGTCACAGCTAGAAGAAAGCCAACATTTCTGTAAGCTTGTGGTACAAGATTGTGTTTTTGTTGCAGCTAAGGAAATCAGAGGAGGACAAATCTTTGTGGGAAGAAAGGCAATCTGCACTGGAGCAAAAAATTGAGGAGAGCAACGACAAAATCCTAAAGCTGGAGAGTTACTGGCTGGAAGCCCAGGCTGTGTGCAAGAGTGTGAATGAACAATTAGCCGAGAATCAGGCTCAGTATGAAGCCCTGGACAAGAAGTACAACAAGGCCAAGAAACTGATCAAAGAATACCAACAAAAGTGAGTTTAATTTCGTATTTCAGCCAAGATTGTGATTTTTTAAAAGTGGTTTTAGTAACAATGTAGTAACAAAAAAAACATATTCTTGGAGCAACATTTTTCATATCCCCAACAGAGAGATAGATTTTGTGAAGAAAGAGGAGGAGCTGAAAAAGACTCTGGACGAAAAAGACAAATGGTACAAGGAGCAGCTGGAGAGCCTGCAGAACAGGGTAAGAATCCGGGTCAGACAGTGAAAGCTTCTACACCTGTTAACCTGCTGCTGTCACTGAAATAAACATGGCCATGACGTCTTCTGTCCACAGATTGCTGCCCTGGAGTCCAGAGGAGCTTCAGCTGTGGAGAGTCAGAGCGGACTAGACTCTGCTGCTGAGGACAGACTCAGCAGCCAAGACTCGGTCAACAACTCACAATCCATTGACTCTCTCTTAGGTATAGTCCAAGTTATGATTAAAATCCCAGAAAAACATAAATCTGTAAAGGTGAGCTCCCCCCCCCTTGAGCAAGCACCGCTTATTTTTCTGTTGTAGATCAAGACTGGACTGAAGGGGTCCCTGAAACAACACGCCTGGACACCAGCGCTCAGAAGGCCAAATGCCGGTTGGCTCAGATGAGCCGGCGCCAGGCTCCAACTCGAAGCAAACTAAAGGAAGGCCTGGCTGAACCCACTCATCTTTCTCAGGTCTGAAAGTCTGAAGCCCCTCTGTTCTGCTTTAGCGTATGGACAGTATGTGTCATAACCGACAGGATGGACAACAGATTTGATCAACTGTTGTGATATTTGACTTTTTCATCATTTTCTAAAAAGTTTGAATACGATAGCATAACATTGAAACACAGCTAACCAGAGCTTGCTTCTACATAAATAGCTTGTATTCTCCCATCCTTGCATTGTCCTTGTAAATAATTAACTTGATCCCTGCAGGAAACTGAAGAAGAGGACGAGCAGGAGGAGCAGGAATCTGCCAGGAGGCGGCAGTCCACGCAGGAGAGCCCAGCACTCCCTGTCGACGTCTGCCACCCTGGACAGAAAGACAATCCCTGCGAGACCGAAGATGCTTCTAAAAGCAAATTGGAGCTGTCCAACAGTCCATCTTTGTCCCAGTCACTGGGGGATAGTGTTAAAAGCTGCAGCAGTCCTTCGTTGTCTTCTCCAAAACACACGTCCTCACCACAATCTCCTTCAGGTTTCACGCGCAACGTGAAGAAGAGAGAGTCCAAAGGCAAAGGGAAAGAACTCAAAGGTACACAGGAAGCTAATTTGATGTCTGCAACAGCAAAGGCTTTTCTTCTCATTTATCTCTGCTTTTTTTTACAGAGGAGTTGAGTGAGTCTTCTACAGCGGTAAAACCTAAAAGGCGATTTCCAGATTTTGGGCAAGTATCCGAATTATTCACTGATCATTTGTAGCCAAGATCTCACCTTCTAAAAAGAATTAAATAAATATCCCTAATGATCAAAACAGAGGCCTTCGGAAGTCAGGCGGCAAAGGAAAAAAAGACAAAGAGAAAGAGGCCCTGAGAGTTTCTTTGGACAGCAGGTATTACTCTATATTCTCGTAATGTTAAGATGTTTTCTAATTTACGCCTTGCATCAAAATTCCTTCAAATTGATAAAATGTCATTGAAAAGTCAACTTGTACTTCTTTCAGCAATTCTGTTCCAAAAGTGAAAGTAATGCATCATTTAGATTAAGCACAAACACATTTCTGTTGATTTCGAAGGTCAAAGTTAATAAAAACCTTAAATGTAGTTTCTCGTCAAATTAAAATATTAGATAAGAGTAATAAAATTGTATTTTAGAAATACTTAAGAAAACGCTACATTCTAGTCGTTGAGATATACAATATGCAATATCAGACTCTGTCTAGAAGCTAGATTGTCAAGACAATGCAAGACTTCACAGGTTACTCATTATGAGGTTTGTGTCTAATGTGAACCCCAAACAGAAAGGCATTAACAAAGTTTGTTTTTAGTAAGTTATAGTTTTATTTTCACCAACATTATCACATATTGCATTTTTTTCTAATATTGTGCAGCCATAATATTCATCCTTATATTGCACAAAGTGCATCAAAATCGGATATCATGAAAGTGTTATTTCCTAGCATTTTTACTTTTCTGGGAGGATTAATGGAAGGAAAAAGTGTAGTGTTTCCTACCTGGCCATTCTCCCAGAGGCTGGGAAACCAGGCTTCCTTAATGATCAATTTCTACATTTTCAGTGATAACCATAGTACAAACATGAGGGTAATTTATTTTAGGGTTGGTGCCATAGCAGCAGAATAGCTGAGGCTTTGAAGCAGGGAAATATTGTAGCTTGTCTTTTTTGATGTCGGAGTAGCAGAACTCTGTATCTCACTACTGATCTGATGTCCAGGGGGTCTGCAGAGGTACTAGAGGAATCTGGAGGGAACCTGTCTCCTGCAGAGTCCATGACCTCTGTCCCCACTTGTATGCCTTTCTCCTGGTTTGGAGACAAAGACAGGGACAGAGACAGAGAGCCGTCCTCATCCAACAGCAGCTTGCCATACGCTGCAAATGAAACCAGCAGTGAGCAAAGCCAGGATCGTAAAACTAAGGTAGACAACTGTTTTGTGAATTTATTTAGATTTATTTATTGAAATTATTTTTAATGTCTCTTCCTGTCCCTCAGTGTCTAAATATTGTGTGTGAAACTGTTCCACATAGCCAGGATGAACTTCCTTCTTGACTTCCTTAGGCAAAATGTTTGGATCTGTAGAGAATGTGATAACTGTTTTGGTTGGGTCCAGTGGTATATTTCCATCACATGGTACTATGCAGTTCCTCATCAATAGTTAGGCATAACATTTTGTGTATTCGATAATTAGATGTTTCAACTTGTTTTACTTGGTTACTGTGGGAAAGTGGTTACTGCATCCAGCTGTTCGTATTAGAAATATTACAGTCTGAATCTGCAGTGATGCTGCAAATCTACCGAGTGGAAAGCCTGACTGTCACCCAGGCTTTAGTGGGCTGCTGTTCCCACAATCCCAATTTAATGAGTTCAAGACGTGAACTGAGGCTTTGGCTTCACTTATCGAAGAAATTACTGATTTTGTGGTCGGTTTTTGACTTTACTGCTTTGCTTTCTGACACGTTTCCATTGATCATGTTTCTTTAAACAGACAAATCTCTCCTGGTCCTCTTTATTCAGTCGCTCTTTAGATTTGGTACAGTATACACGTTTTATTATTCCTTTGACTTTAAATCACACTCAGTAGTGTATTACTAACCGATCCAGTCCTACATCCCCCGAATAATTCACTACGTGTTTTGTACTGGGTATGTGGTAAAGTTTTAACTTCTAATTTTACCCGTTTTTTCCCCTCTTACATTCACTTTAAGAAAGAATTCAGGCTAGTTAGCCTGAAATAACAACCCATGGGTAATTTTCTAGACTTTATGGCTAATTGGAAAATGCTCTTAACAGTTTTATGTGTAAATAAATGGAAAGCGTTTGACTTCTGCCTAACTTGGTGTGTGTCATTTGAGTTTATGTATTTATTATGAGTCACTTTGATTAAATCAAACAGCCTGCCAGTTTGGATGTTATTTTCTTTCCTCCAAGCTCAGTAGTTTCCTTGCAAAAGTATTTACACCCTTTAATCTTTTTCTTTCTTCATGTCAGAATCACAAACTTCAAATAATTTTTGAGGCTATATACACACTGTGCTAAAAATCTAACACATTTCACATTGATCACGCCTTACCCACAGTGAAACATGGTGGTGGCAGTAATATACTGTGGGGAAGCTGCAGTACAGCTGGTTGGTGTTTGTGACGATGGATGGAGATTAATGCAAGGCAGTGGTTGGGTGAAAGTTCACCTTCAAGCAGGACCAGCAGCCTAAACACACTGCCAGTAGAGTGGTTTAGAGCAAAGTATGTTCCTAAGTTAGAATGGCCTAGTCAAAGTTCAATCCTAAATCTTTTGACTTAATAATGATGCTGTACATCAAATCTCTCCATTGGTTCTATTTAGCAAAGAGCAGGCTAACTTTTAAGTGTCTAGCTGAAAGAGGCCCCAAAAGACTTGGGGCACTTTTTAGGTTCATGTTTGTGAAACAAAATTGAGAACCATATTATTTTGCTATTTTACAATGATAGCCTCTCACATAAAATGCTAATGAAATGCATAAACGTTTGTGGTTGCAACAGGGTAAATTGCGAAGACATTAAAGGGATGTGAATACTTCTGCAAGGCTTAATGTAACAGGTCAAACATATAAACATTTATGAAATTAAATCCTTGCTGCTGAAATACCTTCATAGAAAACATTACCTCATACCTGGAGTTAGTGTTTGTTTTTGTTGTGTTTTGTATTTTGGGGGCCAGATTCCCAGTAGAAATGGCCTCCTTGTAGTTTAGAGTGTCATTATGTGGTGGATTGTTTGTAGTTTGTAGAATCTGATCTTTCTTCCTCTCACAGTCATGACTGCTGTGTAATCAGTATTAACCACCACCACTGTAATTACTTTGAATCCCCATGAAAACATCCCTTCCCTCAGCTGTCGTCCTAAACAGAAACCGGTGTTTTGGTTGATGTTGCTTTAGTAAATGCGTTCCTTCTTTCCCATTGTTCCAGAGTTTTTCAGTCATAGATGATTCTAGCCCTGCCAGTCCCAGTTCAGACATCTCTGGGTTAGTCGCTGAACCCAATCTGTCTGGGCGCTCACACACTTTAATCTTCTCTTCCAGCGAGGTGAGTGCTCTCCTTGTTGTTGTGGTCACAAAAGCTGTGTGGGGACGCCCTGATGCAACTGAAAGGGGACATTCTCAAGCATGCCCTTTGAGCCTCGCCCCCTTTCAAAGCACAGATTAAACCGTGAATGGACAGAGACAATATGAGCGCTGCATGTCTGAGTGTTAAAGCCGGTTCGTTTTGTGTTGCCGCAAGTCACGTGACTTAGCTTTTTCTTAAGTTGGCTATGATTTGGATGGTGCATACTTATGCTTTATCGCGGCTGTGTCCTGTTTTTTCCTGTTTGCTTAGTGACGTTTCTTTCACCTTCTAATCTGATGCAGTTCGTCTCTGCAGCTCAGTGTGAAAACATCAGTACGTCCTGCAGCGTTTTGGGGTGTTTTTCTAGAAATGCACGCTTGTTTTTCTGTGTACTGGCTTGGGGAATGTTTATCAACTTTTACATGCTGTTTACTTGTTTTTATAGATTTAGGAAAGTTAAAATTTGCTTTGCAGCATTTCTGACCCTTCACTAGAAAGGTAAAGATTTTACTCTGCTTTCTCAACATACTTAAAAGTCCTGTTGAAACATATTTCAGCTATCACATTGCTTGCATTCACCTGCTGTTAATATTGATCAGCACTCTCTCAGAAATAGTCATAGTGCCATATCATGTGGCTGCTGAACCAAGTTGGGGGGGATCAGGAGGGATGCGTCAATTTGAATCTTATCCTCTGATGTCATCTACTACAACAAAGGTTGAAAAGTCAAGCACAGTCTTTTTCCTCTGCAGTGAGACAGATTTGACTGATAGACCGAACCACCAGGTCATTTCTGCGATTTTGCAGTTAAAAACAATTTTAAAAATCAGGGCTCAGGCAAACAAACTGCAATCAGTGCACTCGATTCTAAGTTTTGGTCAGAAATTTAAATAAACTCAACATCACCTTGAGAAGTACATTGATTTGGACCTTTTATGATATGACATTTAAAGTTCAAGGAAATGACCTTGAAGTTCAAAAACAGGAATTTCGAATGATTTGAATTTACTGTAAAAAAAAATTTAATTACTCTGATAAACATGATGTGAAAATTATGCATACTATTTCAGTTCCAGTTAGTTACAGAGAAAGCACAACATTTTTCATTTAATCATCAATTAACTGGTTTAAGTTTGACTGAAAATGTAACATGTAAAAGAAATTGAAGTCGTTTCAATTTGTTCCATTTTCATGTTGGAACAACCAGTTGTTGTTTTGTACAATGATCTTAAATGCACATCAAACCTTGCATTGGACCCTGTTTCATATCATTTTAATCTGGTTTTTGGATTACAAGAAATTAACAGTTTAAACTTGCACACCCAGATCATGTTTTTAAACTTTGCTGTAGTTGTTTGTTGGATTAATATCCCACCCTGGAAAAAAATTAGGTACTATGATGAGTATATGTAAACTTCTGACTGGAAACATATGCCTTACTAAAAAGCTTCATGTAATGGAAATAGCATAATTTGCAGGAGGAAACAAAATAGTGCTGACAGCCACCAGGTGACCAACTTTTAGATACAGTTTTCAAATGCATTTAAATGAATTTAAAAATTTTGCGTGAAGCCAAATAAAAACTGGATTAAAAGCAGGAGTAGATATATTTTTACTTCCATCTATAATATCTGTTTTCTTTACAGACCTTGGATGATGAACCAGTCCCTGTTGGGAAAGAGTATCAGTGGCAGAATCGGCCCATCTCCGATTGGACCAATCAGCAGGTCTGTCACTGGTTAATGGGCATGAACATGGACCAGTACACTCCTGAATTCACCGCAAAGGGAATCGATGGCCAGCAGCTGCTGCACTTAGACAGCGACAAACTGAAGGTAGAACAAATGCACTTTCAAAATATTCAGTAAAACTAAGAAATAATAAAATGTTACTCATTTTCCAGTGAATACAGCATCACTTAACTCTGGTCTCATAGTTGCTGCCCCCTGGTGGCCAAAATAAAATAACATCTCTGGCTTTTTGGAACAGAAAATGAGCTGACAGGATTAAACCTGCTGTAAATGAATGCTGGTAATAAATTTGTGTAGTTTGTCTCAGTGTTATGATTACTTCTTTTTTTTTACCCTAAGGCACTTGGTGTGACAAGTCAGAGTGATCGCTCAACTATCAAAAAGAAGCTGAAGGACATGCGGAAGGCCCAGGAGAAGCTGGAAAAACAGCGAGAGAAGAGAGAGAAAGAGGGCCGACGCAGTGGGAGGCTGCCGGTCCAGTGTGACTCCATCTGCTGATCAGAGCTGAATTAAGTCTTTCCTTGACTTTCGTCCCTGTTCAGAAAAAAAAAAATAATCTGTATTTCTGATTCCATGATATTCCTTTCAGGAGATCAGTGATTAACACGGTTGGCTTCAATCATTTGGCCAGCTGTGAGGAGTTTTCTATCATTTTCTACCTGTGCAGCTTTTCTTCTGGTGTTTTTTTTTTCATAGTATGAATGAACTAATATAAGTTGTTCACTGCTTTTGAACGGACAACCATACTTCTGTGACTCTACAGGATATTTGGAGAGAGTTGGTCTAGCTTCTCATGCTGAGACCATGATGTGCCAGATGGTGGTTTATATTCAGAATGTTTCTATTATTATTGTTTTCTATCAGTTTCCATTAACTACAGCTAAAAACCATTTTAATTAAATGATAGGGGATGTCAAGTTTGGTAAGAAACCAAAACAGATATTCTAACACTTTTACCACTAAAACAAAATCTTGAAACTATAATTATTGAGATCTGTTTCCGATTATATTGTACAGTCCAGATAAAAGCACTATCAATCTTTTAAGCTTCAAGGCAGCAAAGTTTTAAATGTATAAATGAGTTTTATACATGTGCTGTTAACTGCATTTTTACTTAAATTTCTTATTTTATTGTGTACTATCTACATTTTTCTACTAAGTAGAATAGCCAGACTATTTTTTTTTTTGTCAAAAAGGAAAAGAAATGAGAACCTTATCACGTAGGGACCAGGTGAATGCTGCTGCTGTGTGCCTGACTCAGACTGTTTGGCTTGAATGGTACCATGATGCTCTGTAAATACTCAAAGGATGAGCCTGTGGCGACGACTGGCGTGGATCCAGAGCCGCGTCACCGTGTGAATGCAAGGCTGAACGATGAATGTTCTCCCCGAAACCGAAGTGCTTCCTTTATGCTCAAGTCTAGCTCCATGTTTGTACAAAATATTCAATGTTGGACCAGAAGAAAACAATGTTTTCTGAACTCTCAGAGAAGCTAATCTTGGTACATACAGCATCAATAAACTAATAATCACTTCTATTGAGTTTGCTAGTCTTGGTTTCTATAGTGTATTACAGATGTTGGCAGTTAAAGCAACATATGGTTGCATATGGTTTTGAGTTACCATGGAGATGTAACCTATATCATTTAATCTCAGAAACGAATAGTGACATATTAAGAAATGTGGTCACATCTGGTGTAAGGCTGAGTTATGTTGCTATAAATCAAAAGCAACATAGATATCTCAAAAGTGCACTCCAATCCAGAACAGAATTGTGGGGGATGTAGGCAGAGCAAAGCTTAGCTGCTCAACCAAATCACTCTTTGGTCACCTAGAAAAGGACTCGAGTCACTGACACGTTGTGCCTCTGTGCCGCAGAATTGCTTAAAAATAAAGAGGTGGCATGACGGGAGTAAATTATTGTTCGGAAAAGGCGGGAATCACCATGACAACACGAGCAGTGTAAATTTAAGACTCATCAAAATAAGAATTCTTAATATAACAGAACCGGGCTTTGAAATAAAGAGACTTAAAGTAAGTTTCATATACGTGATATGCTCAAAACAATTCAAACACTTTCAGATAAGTTCTATTTCTCAGGATACATTACTGTGAAGTCATGGTATGAAGAGCATCAACGCCAGTGATGTGATCAAATTGTTCATCTTTGAAAAATAAAAATCACAATCTTCCACCCATAACCTTTCCGCGTTACTTCAAATAAAATTTGTTGTCAGCGTTAATTATTAAACAGGTTAAATCTTTATTTCTGTGAAGCAAAACTTCAAAGTGTTTGTTTTCTTAAGCCCCTGTCCCCTTTAGCTTTGTATAATTTCCAATTCAGTTCTCTGCCAAATGTTCAACCTTCGCTAATCTGAAACAACTTATGTTCAAAATATGACTTTTAGTTACATTTTTCCAGAATCCCAAAGATATCAGTTTAGTGGTTCATGGCACCAACAATGTGATTTTAAATTTAGCGAAATAAATTTAGGTTTGTGCTCATTTTTGCTGTAGTGAGTGTTACTTTACAACCAAACAGACTTTTAACAACAGTCATTTTAAATCATTTATTCAAGCCTAAAGGCTTATATCACATTCTGAGAAACACACACACTGAATGTCCTCAACAGTTCAGCAACATGGAGTGTTGCTGCACAGTTGAACCAATATCTGAAGACTGAACCATCATCTCCCTTCCTCTGTTTGCATTGAGCTTTTAATACAAAATATTTTGTTATATCTTACAGATAAGTGCTTCTAGTGCAAGTTGTCAACAGTGAACTACAGCAAACACAAACAGCTCTCTATATTGCACCGTATTAACTTAGGATCCTCATATGATCTCAATTGAAAGGTGCTAAATCTTAGTTGAAACAGAAAATCCAAAATATTGCAATAAAATATCTAATGGAAATACTTTTATGACAGTTGTAACAGAGTCCTGTTAAATATTTTCACCAAAACAAAGAAAAAAGGTGCAGGTTTCCTGCGAAGCGTCAAACTGTCCTCAAGAAAAAAAATATCTCAAAATCAAACTAAATTGTTTAACAACTCAAAAAGCAGCTAATTTACATCAATGCCTCTTATTTGTTCCTCTTCAGACAAAATATCACCACATTTCAATAAGCACAGCTACAAACTGAAACTACTGACGCCTTTTCAAAGCGAAGATAAATTATACCGAACTGCAGCAAAAATGATGCTCTCATTCTCAATGCAGCAGCTATACTTTAACAAAAAAAAACAAAAAAATGACACCAACTCATTATTCAGATGACAGGAGTGAGAGCTTGGAAATGAATCCAGTGCTGGTTGTGCTTAACTCTGTGCTTCACAGGAAACCAGGTCCTGATCACCATATCTGGAGCCTCCCATACAAAACTAGTAAAATATATGGCACAAAACTTTCCTCCCGTCATACTTTTTTCTCCTTTCTTTGAACAAATCGCCACCACAGTCATCAAAAGGCAGCTTTTTTTTTTTTTAAACAAACTGCTGCAAACAAATTCACTCTTTGGATTCAGAAACTACGAAACGTGGTCAGGTCTTTGGGCTCCTTGCTGGGGACGCACCAGTCGTCGGCCTCGTGCATCGTCTTGTAATGCTTCCAGGCCGACTTGTTGTACACCGGGAGCCTCTCGATCGACTCCGTGGACAGTGCCTGCAACGAGACCAAGAGGTTATTCTGCTATTTTTCCTCTTGTTCAGCTGAAGAAGCCTTTAAATTTTGGCGCCGAAACGCGGTTACCCGTATGTAGATCACCGCATCGGTGCCATAGCCCTCCAGAGAGTAGAGCTTCAGGTCTCCCTGAAAGTAGCGAGCGTACAGGCGAGAGATGGGCAGGCCGTAGCCGTAGCCAGCCTGTGGGAAAGCTTGAATGTAATTTTTGGGTTTTTTTCCAATTAAGGAGCCATTTTCTTTAACCTTACATGGGTGGTTTCTACGCCGACTAAGCAACAGAATCAATAAATCTCTCCAGAACAGTGAAAATAAGAGTTGACCCATTTGTTAACAGTGACATTATGCTTTATCAACAGAGACCAGCAGCATAGATTCACCAATAGTAGAGTACAGAACAGACACTATATGTTTAAAACTAAAAACCTTCTTCACAATAATTTAGACAGGAATGAAAATGGCAACCAGGAGGTGATAATTAAAAGCTTTATTTAGATAATGAGCAAGTCAGACCACATGTATGCGTGTGTGTGTTTGTTAACACTGCCAATATAAAAAGACATCAGCAATGATTATGGAGAGGAATTTGTTTCTTCTCATAAACCTGGAAAGTTCTTGGAGCTAAATTCGGGCCATAAAATTTATTTCCAAAAACATTTTAGAAACTGCAAAATAAAATATCTAAAACTAAAAAAAAATTAAGATTTGAACCTGAAAAACAATGTGGAAACTTTTTTTTTTTTTTTTTAATCACCCTTGTTTCAATCTTATTTGTTAAAAAAACATTTGTGACCCCACTTTAGCTCCATAGAAGGTTTTACTTCTATTTAAAATCTGTTTTGATCTCCATTAGCGAGAGGTTTTCCAAAATCTTAAAACACAACCGTGTGGCTCAGTTAGAGCGAGAGCGCCACATGCAGAGGCTGCAGTTGTCTGGATTTGATTTCCAGACTCTGGCTATTTTCTACATGCCTTCCACTTCCCTCTTCACCCTATTTACAGTCAACTTACTGTTCAATAAAATCCATTTGTGCCAAAAACAATTTTTAGCAGCAAAACTCAGTCTGATGATGTAATGCTCAGAGAAATCGTAAAACGCCTGGGAACTCCGTGTCAGGACTAGAGTGCTTGAGGAGAACGTTAAAAAAAACCCTGAACAAGCATGGCTTATTTGGAAGGCTTGACTTTTAAATCCAATAATATTATAATGCAAACAACATGGTGACACTACCATAATTTTCTCTTTATACTGATGGACGATTTATCAAAAATCATCCGTCAGGAGGGAGATAAATTTTGGAGGTGGATTTTTTTTTTTTTTGCTTGGGGTCAACTTTCTTCTTATAACTTAAATTTATCTCGCCCAATGTGGTGCAAATCAAGTTTCTTAAAAGGCATTGATCAAGAAGAGAGGCCTCTAATCACTCTTCACACTGACCAGAGGTGCGGCTCGGGAGCCGTCGATGCTGGGCCGCGGAGCTGTGGTGTACGTGTAGGTGAACAGCCGGTCGATCTTACGCAGAGGCACGCCCCCTCCGCGGTCGCTCACCTGATCAAAAACACACAGGTGAGTCCATGGAATGTGCAAACCGAAGCTTGAAGCTTTGCTTGTAGAGATTAAACACGGCTGGAGTTCGGCGGGAAAACGACGAGAGTCTCCATTTTACCTTGACGGTGAGATCCTCAGAGCCCAGTGCAACCTGTGCATGAATGGGAGGATACTCCATTGCGTCGCCGTACAACTCCATGGTGGCCCGCATGGCGTTCTGCAACAAGCGTGAGAGAAAGCTTTGACAACGGTACGCCATGATTTAGAAACAAGAACAAGAGCAAAGAAAGGCTCACCTTGAAAAGCTCAAACACCATGTGGTACAGATGAGACGGAACGTAGACGACAGTGACGGGGTTCCCCTCGTGTTTGGCTGACGGGATAAACGAGAAAACTGGATCAGCTGAAGCCCCTCCACTGTTAAACAGGACAAACATAACTGCTTTCTGAATAAATTACCATTAAATTCCTCCAGAATGAGCTCGGGAGAGTTCATGTAGTAACGGTCACAAAGGTTTTTAGCATTTTCAAAGGCATCTGCAAGAAAATGGAGTTTTTTTTTTTAAAAGAACTGTCTCTTTAAAAAAACAATAATAATTTCAACAACGGGTACCTCTGATGACCTCACTGACACCACAGTGTGGATCGATGCTGCCGATCTGGTTGGGGTGAGCAGGATTCACCTCGACTTTCCCACCAAACAGGAGAGCTGCCAACAACAGGCAGAGAGTGAGAGTGAATGACTACACATCAAACGAGCAGCGGGAGTTCACCACCACAAAACACCAGAGGCAACAAAATAAAAAACACTTCCTGTTCAACACTGGACATAAACACGAATAAAGAGGACGTCTCACTGTGCTGGTTGAGCAGCATCCTGATGGATATCCTGCTCATGTAGAAACGATCCAGAAAATACTGGAGGTTCTGGCTGACGACCGGGTCGGTGCCGTACGCCTCCTTGTACTCCACCACCCCCTGAGCCATGGTGGGAATGACATCATTGTGGCGATTTCTGATTTTTATCACAGCATCTGTGAAACTAAGCAGAGAGGAAACGGTCAACAAATCTCAACTGCAAGGACGGAGGAGCCATGAAGCCCAGAGAAACTCACTCATATGTGACTTTCTCGTCGTCTGCGTTTCTATCTTTGAACTCCAAAATATCCTGGAAGCTCTGCATGTACCTGGGGAGGCAAAATAAAAGTGTTTCTCTACTGGTTTTGGAGACATGCGAATGAAAAAAGTGTAAAAAGAGCAAAAGCTGCCTACCAGCTCTGGACCAGCCGCACTGATGGAGTCCTCAG